AAAATTCTTATTGAAAAGTTTATTGCAAATGACTAGCATAGTATAAATATTCACAATCTTATCTTTGAAACCCTCAGAGTAGCGCTCAAAACCACAGGTGATCATTCATCCTTATCATGATGNTTTTTTTTTCTGGAAACTTACGTTGGATATAGTACTTATATGTACTGTGTACTTCCGGTTCGGTAAGGGTGCGGTTTTCTGTCGCGCGGTCAAAATGCCGTGGTAATCCGAGCGGTTACCTTTTGAGCTCTGATTGATAAAAGGCCTTACTCTGAAAAGCAAAGTACAGCTCGAAGTTATTTTTGCCATATGAGTTCCTTGAAAGCAAAAAAACCTATCCATTACAATGAACTTTGATTTTCAGCACGAAACTAGTAAACAGGCATGTTACTCGCTGAAAGTAGTAATTAGGGTAGCGTTTTATGAGTTTCTCATCACACTAACACCTTTTTATTATTTGGACCCCATGGAGAATGACAAAAACAATGTGATACTTCAAGAATTCTCTTCAAACCGCTGACTGAGAGCTATTCGGTCGTTATTGGATTGTGAAACTTACAACCACTCAGGTTTATGTGAAGTTGTATACGACTTGTAGGACCCCATTGGGTCCACGATAATGAAAGATTGGTAATTCGATCCAGTAGGTAGTGTGATCCAAACTGCAAGCCCCGGATAAAGGAATTTAGAAGGAAAATATTGAAAGCTCCAATCATGGTGAATATTTAGAGGGTGAAGGCATGGCTCATACCGTAGAAGCTGCTTTTGTTACAAAACCAAAGCGTTTATACTTTTCCAGATAGATTCTAGTGTATTTGTAGCGATGAATCTACGTTCTAAATTTCTGATGATTCCTTCAGGTGTTTGGTCCAAAAGCCAAAGATGAACTGGTTGGTATGGGTGGAGTGGACAAGGTCGCCGTAGCGCTATCACGTAAGTTCTTTCTCTCGGCCAAATTTAAAGATACCATACTCAAAACACCCAAGATGGCATTCACCCAAGATGGCAGTACTATAGAAAAACAATCAATATTGTTGAATAGTCAAGAGCTTCAAAAAGTACATAGTGGCTCTACTACAATGCGATTAGATGAGGAAAAGATCCATAGCTTTTGAACTCTACCCTCATGAAACCTTGGTGATTTTGCGTTGAAATCCGAACAAAAAACGTAGATGTTTCAAAACTCAGCAAGTAGCAGCTCTCAATTTGTCCAATTGAACCAGTGCTTGATCAATTCAAGTTTCCACTTCTTTCTTGTTTGCAATTTTACTTTGAGCTGTGGAATTTCATTGGTTACGCCCGCCTCTTCGATTTTATTTCGGCAGGACGTCTGAGTACCTAACTGTTCAATTTTTTGTACTCAGACCTTTTCGACTAGGTTGTTATGATGCATTTCAGACTATTTTGAGACTCTTTTTATATAGGTGAAAAAATGTGAAGTAGATTAAGTAAGGCAACTGACGAAGCTGTCTATTTTTTAACATTTGTAAGCGCGCAGGTGTTCAAAATCAAGGAAAGATCTCCATCTAAGCCGTTGACCGTGAGATAAAAATACTGTTTTTCAGAAATCCCAACAGCAGACTTGTTTGGTATTGACATGAAGCTATCAGATGAGGAAACTGAGCATATGATTGCTGTACTGGAAGGCATTCTGAACGGATCCACTGATGAACTCACCTCCAACGAGGCCGCTGATTTCCGCTTTTTCGTGCAAAAGTTACAGGTAACGAGAGATTTTTTGACCTTTAAGCACTGCTAATTCGAATAAGTATAAACTGTCCCTGAACGAGGAGCGTGAAGGGACTATCTACAAGATGATACAGCTTGATTCTGACGAGCAGGAAGATATGGGCGTAATTGCACTACCGCTTAAATGTTCCAAAAATCACAGCGAGTTTAGTTGACCTTAGCAGACTAGATTTTTCTGCTCGAGTCACCTGAACTTGCTTTTCATGCGGCTTAATGACAGCTAGTCTTGTCAGAGGGGAGAAGACAACTTCGACTCGTGAAAGACCAAGACCTAAAGGGTCGTACCCACTCAGAAGCTGTAGGATCAAGTACCGAACAACCCAATGAGGCTTCTGATGCTTTATTGCTCCAAGTTTCCTCTTGTTACCACCGGACTAGTTGACGAAGAGTAATTAGACTGGTTGTTAGCTTGCTTCTGAGCGTATTCATAGAAGCCAAGTAAATATTAGGGACTTAACTTTCAAAAGGAAACACCCCAAAACCATTTCGAAAGAATTACTAGATCCCGCTGAGGAGAGAATGAAATGCGAAAGCCTTTCCAATGGCTCCATATTCGCTTTACCCTCCCATAGAGGGTTGCCAATTATTTACTTCAGAAAATCCTATCTTTGCAGCAAAATGATTTTTTTTGAAGTGCTCAAACCCTATGGTAAATTTACTCCATTTTAAGGGAAGAACATAAAAAAAGGATTCGAACAATAATTATAATAATTAATTTTGATAAATTTTAATTCAAGGAAACCGGATTCTTCTGAACAGAGCGAAGCCTGGCGTGCTGTTTCACAACTGATCCGATTGGCCTGATTCCTTTCGTCCATACTCTTTTACGTCGTCGTCTTCTTCATCTTCTTGGTAGCGCATCTTCGCTCCTGATCGTCGTTTCATCTCCACACGCACAAACACACAACAGCCGTATACGAGTTGTCTCGTCGTTAATAAATCGTTTACTGTTGTCGCTATCATTTTAAATACCAATGAATATCACCAAAAAACATTGTTTTGTTGGATTTAGAGGGAGCTCCTTCCTCAGAATAAGCCGAACTGAAGGTGGAGGTTTAAGTTTTCACCATCAATATTTCCATAGAGATATGGCCTGCACAGAAGGAAGTAGGTTCCGCCGAGTGGAATCAAAGTTGTTGGTCTACCGGGAACCTTCCCACCCTCCAAAGGCAAATGGTAGAAGATGATTGCTATGAAGCCTTTTTGGGACAAACAACGACTTCCTCCATTACAGATTGTGTACCCGAATTTCAATAAGATCGAAAAACTCAGGGGTTCATCCAGGAAACAGATGGAAAGCTCTAATAAAGTACGTGAAAAGGATGGATACCTTAAGGGGATACCCCAATGTCCAAAAGGGATACCCCAACGCCTAGGTATCTCTACCTCAATATAACCCCTAATCCAGATAACTTTCACCTCAAGCATGACTTTTCAAGAAAATGTTTCAGTATAAGCCAAACCCTGCCAATTTGTAGCATCTGAACGTCATCTCTTGAACAAAAAAATTCTTATTGAAAAGTTTATTGCAAATGACTAGCGTAGTATAAATATTCACAATCTTATCTTTGAAACCCTCAGAGTAGCACTCAAAACCACAGGTGATCATTCATCCTTATCATGATGGATCGAATGTCGATTTACTTGTACCAGTTCTTGAGCGCTACTCTGAACGTTGGAAACTCACATACAAGGCCATTTTCAAATCTGGGGTCCCTCCCTTGGTGCGATCATAGTTGAAGTGGCTCCGAGGACACAGGCCCTGCCTCTGGAGTCATCCTTTTCACTCTTTGCTTAGACTCGGTACCGTTCGCACGGAATAGAGTTTTAAACGCCACCCATAGCCTTCATATGAGTTTCCAACGTGAGGATCACATAATTTTACCGAGCGAAAGCCTTGTCTGAACAATCATGTCATACAT